GCTCCCTCTCTTCCCATGGCACTGTCTCCCTGCGGGAGATCGACCCCTTCCTACCATGCCGGGTATGACGCGCCGTCGCCGCGCATATCGCTGCCAGCCGACCAGATGCCCGTGTCCTCCAGCGGATCGACCGTGTGGCGGATAATCTGGCCGCGGCCAAACAGCCCCCTCTCGTTGCCGGTGAGCACCCTGACCTTGTGGCCGAGCTTCCGGAGGCCCTCGATCGTGTCGGCGGGCATGCCCTCCTCGACGTTGACGTTCCAGTCAAAGTCGATGCACACGCGCGGCGCGTCGAGGGCCTGCTGCGGGTTGAGGCCGCCGACGAGCTGGCCGAGCAGTACCTGGACGTGGCCCTGCGGCTGCATGAAGCCGCCCATGACGCCAAAGGCGCTGTGCAGCGACCCGTCGGCGAGGTTGGTCACCATGCCGGGGATGATGGTGTGGTAGGGCCGCTTGCGGGGGCGCCAGCCGGTTGGGGTGGCCGGCGTCGAGGCTAAAGTTGGAGCCGCGGTTCTGCAGCGTGAAGCCGCAGCCGCGCGGGATGATGCCCGTGCCGAAGCCGTCGTAGTTGCTGTTGATGAACGACGCCGCGTTGCCGTCGCCGTCGGACACGGCAAAGTAGACCGTGTCGCTGCTGTGCAGCGCCGGCGAGGGGATCGTCGGCGGCGTGCCGCGCTCGACCGACGCCGCCGCCTTGGTGGCGTCGAAGAGCCTGGCGCGTGCGGCGAGGTACTCGGGTGCGATGAGGCCCGCCGCCGGCACCTTTTGGACGTTGGGGTCCGTGACGTACCACTGCGCATCGGTGAAGCCGAGACGCAGGGCCTCGATGATGGCGTGCAGGTAGGGCGCCGTGTCGTGGTCCTCGGGCTTCCACTTGGGAATCGTGCCCTCGTTCTGGAGCGCCTGGAGAATGCCGAGCGCCATGAGCGCGACGATGCCCTGGCCGTTGGGGGGGTGTTCCCAGACCTCGACGCCGTCATCGTGGAAGCCACCGTGCTGGAGCTTCAGCGAGATGGGCTCGACCGGCTCGCTGCCGGTCTCGAGATGGTGGGCGAGATCATCGAGGTCGATGTGGCCGCCGAGGTCCCTGCACACCTTGACGTACTCCTCGGCGATGCGGCCTTGGTAGAAGCCCTTTTTGCCCTCGGTCGCCAGGGCACGGAACGTCCTCGCGAGGTCGGGGTTCTTCATGATCTCGCCGGGTCGAGGGGCTCGCACGCCGTCCTTGGCTGAGGGATCCTTCTTGAGCATCTCGCCGTAGTTCGGAGACGCCTCGCGCAGGATAGACTCTGCTGAAGTCCACTGTGCATTATTTAGCGTTGGGGGGGCGCTTCTTGATCGTGCTGGTGTCTTCAACTCACATAGTAGCCGGTAATATCAGACACGGGGAAGCCCCTCTCGCCGAGCTCAATGGCGGGCGCCAGAATCCTGTCGAGAGCCAGGTTGCCGCTGCCGAAGCGCTCAACCGTGTCGACCCAGCCAGCAGCGGCGCCTGGCACGGTCACGGCGTGGACGCTCTTGGAGGGGATCTTGCCCTGTGCGCCGTCGGCGAGGCCGAGGTCTCTCCTGACCGTCTCGAGCGTGCACTTGTTGCCGGAGCGGCCGGAGCCGTTCATGGCCGAGACCTTGGCCGTCTTGGCATCGTAGTAGAGGATGAACATGTCGCCGCCGATGCCGGTGGAGCACGGCTCGGTCATGTTGAGGCCGGCGGCGACGGCGACAGCAGCATCAGCCGCATTGCCGCCGGCGTGCAGGACCTCGAGGCCGCACTTGGCCGCCAGAGGCTGGGTGCAGCTGACGATGCCCTTGGTGCTGTGGACGACGCTCCTCCTGCTGGGGAAGCGCGTGAACTCGGCCGCCTGGGGCGTGAGCATGTGCGCGGGGCTCAGCGGCATGATGGGCAGACGGCGGTGCGGGGTGCGTTCTCGACGGCGACAACGTGTAGTGAGCAGACACTAGGTGGGACGGTTTGGTTTTCGAGGTAGGTAGTAGCAAGAAGGCGAGGCGAGGCGGATCGTGATGTGACGAGGCACCTGTTCTATTTGAGGAAGAGAAGATGGGAGGAGATCGCCCTTTGTCCGACCATGTTGCTCATGATAGAGGACGCACAGCCGACGAGATGTTATCGGCCGGTTACGCAATCGCGTCGGCATTGGTCCCGACGAGGCATGATGTGCAGAGAGTCGAGTGATGCATCACCCCGCGCCCACCCGCCACAGGTGAAGGGCGTGGTACATAGCGGGGGTCTCCCGCCAAGTTCCCCCGCCGCCGAGTTCGGGCCAGCCTTGGGGTCGGCGCCGGCGGCAGTCACATAGTTTCTGAGCTGATACCGGGGCAAATACTCCAGGGAATATTCATCGTGTTATTCCCGGACACACGTGGATTTTCTTTGATCTGCGTGCAATTTCATTCCCTGTAAGAAAGCGTCCTGGCAGGTTCGCGCGCGCGAGAGAGAGAGGGACACGTGACTTCGTGCCTCGTGCCCCGCCTTCCCTCGCGACCCGACGCGGACACGATTCGAGAGCTCCTCCCAGCACCTCAGTAGGTACCTTGGTCGAGGCACCGACTAGTGCTCTCAGCGTCTTCAACCCACAACCGCCGAAACACCACATCGTCACCCAGCCAGGCTGGTGTATACCAACAGAACCGCCACCATGTCGCGGAGGCCGGTGAAGGGGGAGTACATTGAGACCGTCAGTCCACTCGCCCCCCGACTGACATGCCCTGACAATGTCCCCCTGACTGACATCCAAAGGACACTGGCAACAAGGTCTCCCGCAAAGCCAACCTCGTCGGCACCCAGAACATCATGCTCGGCGGCCGCACCGTGATACAACCCGATGTCATGATCCGCGGCGACCTCGCCCGCACCGCGCCCTCCAGCTCCTCCTCCACCTCGGCCGGCAGCGCCCCCGCCAATAACACGGCCGTCGCCATCGGCCGCTACTGCTTCCTAAGCCGCGGCTGCATCCTGCGCCCCCCAGGGCGAGTCTACAAGGGGTGCGCCCTCCCCGACACTATCCGACCTGATTGCAGAGAAGGAAGGAAATGAAAGAGACAGACGAACGACGGCTGACTCGATCCCTAGCGCCTTCACCTACATGCCTCTCCGCCTCGGCGACCACGTCTTCGTCGGCCAGGGCACCGTCGTGCAGGCCGCGACCGTCGGCAGCCACGTCTACATCGGCCACGGCGCCGTCATTGGCGAGTTCGCCATCATCAAGGACTACGTCCGCGTCCTCGAGGGCAGCGTCGTGCCGCCCAACATGGTCATCCCGAGCTTCAGCATCGTCGGCGGCCAGCCCGCGCGTGTCATTGGCGAGGTGCCCGAGGGGGGGCACGACGCCTTTGAGCTGCGCGAGCTCTACAAGACGGTGGGGAACAATCCGCAGCCGATGAATGCGTAGTAGTCTCTGGCGCGATTTTTTTTTTTGATTTTTTTCGTGTGCAACCGATACCCTTTTGTGTTGTTATCCTGGGACTGTCAATACAAATTCGAATATTTTCTCCAAGGTGCTCATGCCGTCGTGATGGTGTCCAGGCAGTCATTTCACAAGGGAAAAAAACTTGCTCTCGACTGTATGTGTTGATGATCATGGTATTGGGCCGAAAAATCCCACGTGGTTCCCGTACAACCACAAATGGCTGTACCTACTAAAGTCATGCATGTCTATGATCCGGATGCCTCTCACGGCCCCAGAAGCGTTCCCCTTATGCAATGCACAAATATACTGGCGGGGTGTCTCCCCTTCCGCACCCAGCGGACCCATAGTACCCTCTGTACGTGCAGCTGTCCTCAAACTCCAACCGATAAACACATCCAAACGCCGAATGCACCCATGCAGACCTTTCCCTGCCTGCCTGACCTAGTCCTCGCGCTCCACGTCGCTGTCGTCGCCGCTGTCCGTCATGTCGACAGGCTTGTGGCCCTCGTGCTCGGCCATCTCGCGCCACGTGCTCCAGCTGAGCATGCCAAACGCAACCATGATCATGAAGCCGCCGAGCATGGCGGCGCCGCTGAGCGGCTCGCCCGTGACCATCCAGTCGGTGAGGGCGACGAGGAAAATGGTCAGCAGCGACGCGACGCTCGACAGCACGGGGCTCGTCAGGCTGATGAGCACGAGGAACGAGCCGGCAAACGTGGCGTTGGCCACGACGGAGAACAAGAGCATCCACGCCGTGTGGCCCGTCGGCAGCGCAAACGTCTCGAGCCCCGTCCAGTGCAGCAGCGGCAGCGGCACCCAGAGCACGCAGAGCGTGAAGAGGCCGATGCACGAGCCGAACGTGTTGGCGAAGACGACGCCGCGCAGCGGCGCGCAGCCCTCGGGCGGGCACGCCCACCGCTTGTAGAGCACCTCGTAGAGGCCGTAGAGCACCGACCCCACGCCGATGACCATGTTGCCGAGGAACCGCTCGCCCGCGGCCTTGGTGGCCGCGGCGCCGCCGTCGTCGGCGCCGGCCTCGGGCGCCTTTTTGGTCGCCGTACGCGACGACGAGCACGCCGACGATGGCCACGATGACGGCGATCGACTGTCGAGGCGCAGGGGCTCCTTGAGGAGCGGCACGAGAAGACGTAGCCGAAAAACGCCGAGCAGTTGTAGATGGCCGTCAGGTCGGAAAGGCGTCGTCAGATCGACGGCGACGTACCACGAGAGGCCGGCCACGGTCAGCGCCATGGTCACAAAGACGGTGGTGCGCACGAGATAGGCCAGCGCTGAAGGCCGCGGGACGGCCGACGGGCGTGACCAGTCGAGGTCTTGGGTCTGCACCATGATGGAGGTGCTACGGAGCAGGCCGACATGGCGGCGCCAAAACGTGGCCCAGGGCACGTTGTATTGCTGGATGCGCAGGCAGAGCAGCTGTACGGGCCAGAGCAGGGACCACGAGCCGTGCGTGAGGTAGAGCATGCAGTAGGCCTTGTTCCAGCCGAGGTCCTGCTGAACGTAGGCCGACAACTCGGTCTGCACGACAAAGGCGACGAGGCAGAGGACGAGGAAGAAGGCGGCAAATGTGTATCTCGCCTTGGCTGAGGAGGCTGCCGCGAGGTCGGGGCTGTGGCTGCGCATAGTCGAGGCGCGCGAGTGGAAGGACCGGTTGCGTGATGCCATCAGTGGACTCGAACCGCGGCTGGCGCGCCCACGACGAGCTTCATCGTATTCCATCGAGCGTCTGTCTGCGCCGGCTGACTCGTCCTTGGCAAAAAGGAGCGGAATGCCAGAGAGGCCGTCGGTCGGCCTGGCAAAGGGAGGTCGTTGGTCGTTGCTCATGGCGAACAAGTCTCGGTCGGGTTCGATACCCAAGTCGTCTGCAGCATCGGATGCGACGAGGCGAGGGGCTATTGTGCTTCCTTCAGCGGACCAGGGGAAGAGGGTCCCTCTTTTGTTCTGATGGCGAATTCGGGGTTTGGGAGGATGCAGCAAAGGAGTGGACAACGAAGAGACGGGCTTCAAAGAGCGACGAGAATCAGGGACATGCTATTGACACATGCAAGAAAGAAAAAGAGAGAGCACTAGAGAGGAGGATGACTAGCAGCAAAAAGGCCAGAGATGGGAAAGATAGGAGTTCCAAGGGGGGGGGGGGGGGGGTGGATGATTCGGATGCCTGCAGATGAAGGCAGCATGGGGTTTCCGATGGAAGTGGAATCTGTCGTTGCAGCCGAAAACTGGGGTAGAAGTCCCAAGCACGTACATGTATGGCGTATTCCAGCGCTGAGGGTACTAAATCTGCAGAAGACACCGGGGGGGTGACAGACCCCTAAAGACCACCCATGATAGGTGGTCGCCGGGTGTGTCGGGCAGGGGCCAAGTGCTGCTAGGCCCGGATTGGGGGCAATGAGACAAGGCATGGGATCCATCACGAGTCGACATTGCTTGGCCGGCATCGAGTCTCTCATTTCTCCTTGCGAAAGACTCTGCAGCTCGACATCAGGTGCCCCACTTGATTGAGATCTACAACAGTCGCTGTTTTGTACGTTGTCACGGCTGAACCACTACTTGGCCCCAGCTCCAAACAGAGCTTCCCTTGGGTCGTACGTATACTTCAGATCCAGGTGCCAATAGTTAGTCGTGTCTGCCTTCGACACGAGCCATGCCTGCTCCAGAGCCTGAACGACATCCTCAGGCAAGGGACCCTTCTCGAGATGGTTGAGGTTGTCCTCGAGCTGCGCTACGCTCGAAATGCCGATAAGGATGCCGTCGTTGCCGTCCTTAATGTTCAGCTGCGAGTGGTGGACCGTCCACCGCAGCGCCGTCTCGATCATGCTGAGATCGCGCTTCTCAATCGCCTGCTCGATCGTCTGCAGCGCCTTGAACGTGCTGTCGCGGAAGTACCGCTTGCGATAGTTGTCACCCGTCCCCGCCGTGTCCGAGAAGCGGCCCTCCGTCGGCACAATGTCGCGCGACTTGATCTTGCCGGAGAACAGGCCACCGGCGATGGGGTTGTAGACGACAATGTCAAGGCCGTAGCGGCGGCAGGCGGGGATCAGCTCGGCATCGAGACTGCGCGTGATGACGTTGTACATGCCCTGGTAGATGGTAGGCCGCACCCAGTTGTTGTACTTGCACGTCAGCACGACCTCGGCGACCTCGAATGCCGTAAAGTTGCTGAGGCCGAGGCGCACAAACTTGCCGGCCTTGTGCAGCTTGTCGAGCGCCTCGAGCGTCTCGGCAAAGGGCGTTGCGCGGTCTGCGGCGTGGAGATAGAGAATCTGCACGGGTTAGTCGATCGTTGCATTGCATGCCGCCATAGGGATGGACAGTGGCAACAAGAGCACTCACGTCGACGCAGTCGGTGCCGAGCTCCTTCAAGCTCGTCTCCAGCGACTCGGCCACCTTATCGGCGGCATGGGAACCCGGCTCAGAGGGGTACTGAATCTTGGTCGCCAGCGTGAGGCCCCTTTCCTTCCACTTGGCCTCACGCGTGAAGGCTTCCTGCTGCTTGCCAACATAGACACGCGCCGTATCGACCTCGTTATAGCCGCGGGACTGGAACACATCGAGGGCCTTGTTGTACGTCTCGAGGTCAGTGATGCGCGCGCCGTCGGACTCGCTGGGCCCAAAGGTCATCAATCCGAGGATGATGCGGTTCGTGGGGTTGCTTGCGATCAGAGGCATGGTGGCGGTATTGTATCGTGAGCGTTGGAAGGGTGACTGGGTTCGAAAGCAGAGCAGGCTTCTGCTTTCTCATATTAATACTTCCTAACGTGCAGTTGACTGTATGAGTCGAAAGGGACCCCCTCTCGGTGATACGTGATTAACCCCGCCATAGACTTTGGCGGGGTTGCCATGTATTTCTGCACCATGATGCTGCGAACGTGCCATCGCGGCAAGCTGATTTGACGTGCTTCCGAATCCAAAGACGTCATTGGCTTCCGCGCATGAACCACTGTGCCGATTCTACCGCCGCACCGGATTTAAGTACGGGAAAGTCGTTCCATGCTGCTCTCTGCTGTGTTTAAACACCACTGGTGCAAGTCACTGGCTTGTAGCATTACCTACCTTAACCTTAGGTACCTAGGTAGCGTTGAGTCATCATGGGGCTGTGACCGAGTGACATTTTGTCGTGCACAGCTGTGCCCAGCTGTGCAAGATTGAACATGCCAACAGTCTTCATACCAAGGCCAATGGTCCTAGATGGTGTGCCTCCTAATGCCTAGGTACCTACCTCCCTAGGTAGGCGAGGTACATGTAGATACTCTTGGTACTTTACCAGACCACAGCACATCACAGCTGGTTCCCCTCATGTAATGGCCCGTGCGCAACACGTGATGAAGCTTAAGTGCCTGCTTCGTCCAACGCGTCGCTAATTCCACTCTCGCGTCTTGTTCGCGTCCATTCCACAATTCCTCTGCCAACCGACCGACTTCCGACAACCCCAGTCTCGGCGATTCATCCATTGCCAGCAGTATCGTCACAGACTTCACATGGTACTACTGTCTTTCCCGCGCAGTGCGACCAGCAGCTTTATCACTGTCTTTCCTTCCCTCTTTGTAACTTCCGACCTGCTCTGGCGACCGACCCGCGCAGTCTGAGACTCCAACCCGACGATAAAGGGCTGTGTCCCTCTGCGCCTTCCTGACAATGGCCAAAGGTCCAGCTGCTGCCCCCGCGCAAAGCGGCATCTACAGCGCGACATATAGTGGTGTATGTCTCCTTTTCTTTCTGAGCACCCTCGTTACCCTCAATGAACCCCACAAGGCTGCCTCAGAGTCGTTGCCTGATGTGTGAAACCACTGCGGCGCTTACAGCTGTTGGGCGGAGAAACGAGTATTCAACGTCCCCACGAGGGGTAAATGACAGCTTCAATCTTGCTCGTCCTCTTCCTCTGCGCAATACCTTTTGACGTCCTTTCATCACTCATGGATTTGGCTGACCCATGTTGCCTGCAGGTCCCTGTGTATGAGTTCCAATTTGGCGATGACCTGAAAGAACATGTGATGCGGCGGCGGCAGGACAACTGGATCAATGCAACACACATCTTAAAGGCCGCAGGCTTTGACAAGCCGGCGCGCACCAGAATTCTGGAGCGTGAGGTGCAGAAGGAGAAGCACGAAAAGGTGCAGGGTGGCTACGGAAAATATCAGGGCACCTGGATCCCCCTCAACCAAGGCCAGCAGCTTGCCCAGCGCAACAACTGCTACGACCGCATACACCCCATCTTCGAGTACACTCCAGGCAACGAAAGCCCGCCACCTGCCCCTCGTCACACAAGCAAACCCAAGGCACCAAAACGACCAGCTGTGCCAAAGTGGCCAGGTAAGCCAGCCTCTCAACCTGCCTCGAATGCCCTGTTGGCAAAGGCTAAGACCCTGGCGTCAGTTGCTCCCACCGCCAGTCAAGAAACGTTTGACGCAGGCGACTCGATGATGCACGACGATGATACCCCTGACAATATTACAATTGCTTCCGCCTCCTACCTGGGCGAGGATGATCGCTTTGACATGTCGCAGCAACAGCAACCAACGACTGGTCATCGAAAGAGAAAACGTGAAGAGGCTGCCATCCAGGACATGACACAGCAACAGCATTCCGTGTACGGAGATGAGTTGTTGGATTACTTCCTTCTCTCTAGAAACGAGAAACCCGCGCATCGACCGGAGCCGCCACCAAACTTCCTACCCAACTGGGTCATCGACACGGAGAGTCACACGGCACTGCATTGGGCTTCGGCCATGGGCGATGTCGAAGTCATCAAGCAGCTGAAGCGCTTCAACGCGGATCTGGCTGTACTCAATGTTCGCGGCGAGACGCCCCTGATGAGGGCCGTTCACTTTACGAATTGCTACGACAAGGAGACCTTCCCCATGATTGTCCGGGAGCTGTTTGACACAATCAACCTTCGGGATCATAGCGGTGCTACCGTCATCCACCACGCCGCCACCATGAAGAACGGCCGCGTGACGAGCCACTCTTGCGCTCGGTACTACCTCGAGGTCATTCTGACCAAGCTGCAAGAGGCCGCCGATCCCCAGTTCATCCAGCAACTCATTGACGCTCAGGATCACGAAGGCAACACGGCGCTGCACCTAGCCGCCGAGAGGAATGCCCGCAAATGCATCCGTGCCTTGCTCGGACGTAATGCCTCAACCAACATCCCCAATGCCGATGGCGTCCACGCCGAGGATCTGATTAGAGACCTGAATGCCTCCAAGAAGGAACAGCGCGGGCCCCACCGCTCGTCATCGCCGTTTGGCCCAGAGTCGCATCGACACGTCTCCTTCCGAGACGCCCTGACGGATCAGATGCCGTCCAAGCCCAACCTCTCCTACGACTCGGAGGCTGCCAACTCTGTGCACTCGCGCATCGCGCCCCTGATCTTTGAAAAGTTCAGCGACCTCTCTGCTAGCTACGACGAGGAGCTGCGCTCCAAAGTCGATGCCGAGCGCGACGCCCGCCGGGCCATCGCCGCCAATCAGGCCGAGCTCAGCAAGATCCAGCAGCAGATCGCCGAGCTTGACGCAAAGGCCGAAGCCGACGAGGACGCCGCCAAGGTCGCCAGCGAGGCCAACCTCGCCAAGCACCAGGTCATGTCCCTCATTACGAACCAGAATCGTCTGCACATCCAGCAGTACGTGGACCAGGAGCTGAGCCTCCTCAACGGCGACGTCACCGACGGCTCCTACGAAGAGCGCCTCGAGCTCGCCCTGAAGCTGCACGCGTCGGTCAACGAGCTGCGCCAGTCCGAGGCCGACTACGTCGATGCCCTGAGCATGGTGGGTATCGGCGAGAACGTCGACAAGTACCGCCGGCTGCTTCGGCAGTGTCTCGAC